TGACCTCACGTTGGTTACTCTCGTCCATCAGACTCTTTACGTCATTTCTCAGTTTAGATTCAAGTTCTTTTAGGAAGCCAATTTCATCTTGCAGTTCAGCAATGTGTGACATCGTTACATCAGTTTGTGCAGCAGCACTTAAAGAATGTTGCATATCTTCGTACTCAGCGTCAAGCATAGCTTCTAAGTCTGCAACCTTCTTTTTTGACTCAATATTTTGAGCTTCAAGAGATGGTTTAGGGCTCTCTGATCTTCCTAGGTTCTTCAGTTGAGTACGCAGCATCTCTATTTCTGACTCGTATGTTTTTAGTCTTTTTATTATTTTTTTCCAGAAAATCGAGTCTGTATTGCAAGTCGATGAAATTCTTGCGCTTTTTGAGAATTTTTTTGAACTCTTTCTATTTCTTCGTTGTACGCATCCGTTACTTGGCGGAGTTCCTGACTGTAACGATCGAATTTAGAATTGGCTTCTGTGAGCTGTTTCTTCAGGTCCAAAATCTCCAGCTGATTATCTAGTTTAGTGAATTCTCTAAGCTCATTGAAAGATTCTTCCAGTTCTTTGAGTTGTCTTTTAAGTACACTTGCACGTCTTCAGCTATCACAGATTCTGCTTCGGCTAGTGCCTCCTCATATGTCTCTTCTTGAATAGGCCTCATTTCACGTCCGGATGATTCTTCTTTGGGTGGATAATTTTTCAATGGCATATACCCTAGGGATGCTTTTTTAGGTGATACGTTGCCATAGTGTCCAAAAGTATGACGTCTTAATGTTTTTTTCGGTGTTGATGCCGAGGCTCCCATTTGAAAGCGCCCGACAATAGATACTTCCGTTTTTAGTCTTTCTATCTCGAGCAGATACTCTTGTTTGCTTTTATCCATCTCTTTAGCTTAATTGCCTGCTTTTTGAGCCGAGTTTCGAGATCGCGAGTCAAGTTCTGATATCCTTGAAGTGTCTCTTCTGTAGCTGACAAGATGTTTACTTTCGTTTTATTTTTGACAGTTTTAGTGCTTTGGGCGAATTCTGGTGTAGATCTAGTCTCCTCCTCTGCAGCTAAAGTAACATTCCCGATAATCAATGATTTGGCATTACCGCCAAGAGCCTGTGAGAGCAGTCTAGTCAATTTCGAATCGCGATAACTGATAAACTCCTTCCCCTCGCTTAGTTGCCTTATCACATTTCCTAATACTGACAAAGATTTGTTTATGTTAGCCCCCTCTTTAAGACGCTCACCAGCAGCTTTCGTCAGAGAAACTCTCTCAGAACCAGCTAAGTCCATTAAGTTAAGGTAGCTTATATGTACAGGTCCATCTTTCTGATTGGCATCTTTCGACTCCAGAATAATCCGGAAAATCGTGTGTGATCGAGATGACCTCTCATTCATGCGAGTAGCTGCAACTCGTCTGATCTTATTGCCCTGCATCATGTTCTCCATAACTTTATCAACATTGTCTACGACAGCTTCCCTTGCATCAAGCAGCATTTCCTTTGATATCTTCTCATAGTTAAACCCTGATTGCTCTTATCCAGGAGGTCATTGATCTTTTCATTGTAGATTTCAATATAACTGCATCTAATCAAGTACCTCTTATCAACCTGGTCTGCCACATGCTGGAATAACTGATTGGATACTAATTGGAAAAGCCCAGGATCTGTTTTATTGCCCAAAATGGTGTGTGTTTTGCCAGAAGATGTTTGGCCATATGCAAATATTGTGGCATTGAAACCTTCCATGAAGGAATCGACTAAAGGTTTTACTACAGATCCATATACATCTGAATTTGTACATTCCTGATTAAATACATGGTCGAATATAAACCTCTCCATGGCGACTACTTTCATCGGCTTCCCATATGCAGTTTACTCTTACGTTCCAAAGACGCTCTAGACCATCGGCTACTTCGCGGTGGATCATTGGTCTGATCTTTGTGGCTACTTTAATATTGTTGGAAGTCATTTTGGAAGCTTGAACTGAAATTTAATTAGAACTAGGGCTATTTCACGGGTTATAAAGAGGGGCAGATGTATCAGGTTGATACATTCTTTTTTTCCTCCTTTCCAGTATAGAAGATTTTTTTCTCTTGTAGGCTATGAATGCGGTCCGATAGTTTAGTAGAGCTACATTTACAGGGTGACTCAAAATCAAAGAAGAAACAGAATTGTTAAATTTCATATAGACTGTTATTGTTATTACAAAAAGAAGTTGAAGCAGCAGCAAATTCTCACAAATCTATAGATCCATCACTTTCAGCACCCGATTTTTCAACTTGAAAAATGCAGCTCGGTGAAGAATCACAAGGTAACTGTTGTCTATTCAGACAATACTCTTCTAAAAGCAACGCGAAGTTACCTAGTGCCTTACATGAATCGCCTTCATAATTCTTCATTATTGTCAATGGAAAACTGAAATTGTTGATTATTACAGTTTTTAATGCTTCAAATAAACAGATGGTGTTCGTGTTGGAAATCCCACGTCTAATCTCGCAAAACAGGTTATCCACCGGATCTTACTATCAACATCTGAAATGCCATTACTGTTTTTAGCCATGTGTACAACAGGTTTGTACGCATAAGACACTCTTACATGAAAACTGTTTATTGTCTAAAAACGAAAATACCCCATTGAAGATGAGTAATGCAATAAATATAATCCTCGAAACTTGAACTGTAATATGAACATAAAAAAACTAACAAAATGGGCCATTTAACAACATATTTGGTGTTGATATTCTACAACAAAAACAAATACTTTCTCGTATAAGGAAACATACAATAATTAACATTTATCACTTTTCACGAAACAATGTAAGTGCGCTGTGACTTTACATACTTATTACAGATTGTAGAACATTTTTTTCATTGTGTATTGTCATGTAACACCTACGTCGTTTTTTTTCTTTAACAACTGCATCAGGATCGAGAACTCTGGGCTGAGAAGTAGACGGCTTACTTTATTCGTCGTTGGTAATTTAGGATTCTTTGCATGGCTGAACGAAGCTCCCTAGGAAGTCTTGGATCTGATAAACGTCCTCTCATACGAAGTTAAATTAGAGTTTGCCTCAGGGGAACAATAAAATTTCGTCGCCTAATGGAACTTTCAGTCCCAGACTGAAAAAAAAAGGAATTTACAGAAGCTGGTTGGATACCAAATAGCACAAGGCCATCTTCTCGTTCTCTAACCAGTATTGTAATTTACACACTTCCGATCTAATGCATTACCCCCCCGCCCTTCATAGTGTTATAAAAATAATATAGGATCTTATCAGGTTTCTTTGATTCCTCTACTATTTTGTTATCATGCTGCATAGATTGCTATACGAGAACATGTGTATTTGGTTTTGGAAGATACTACTCTAAGGCTGTACAACATAAACTTAGAAGTACCTGGCTGTGTTTCCTTCTTATTTGGAACTACATGTTGGGGTACTTGTTACTTATTTTTACGCTTCCTGCCGACATAGGTCAGTTGGTTGATGCGCAATTCTACATGTAATTCTACTGACGTGAACCAGTCATCTGCTGTGATATTTCTGTTCGTATAGACGAAAGCATTGAGCAGGTAGTGGTGAGTCTTTGCATCATCAGTCCATACTTATTCGGTTTAGTTTTCTTGTAGGCACAGGAAGGACATCGGCCCACGAGCATCTCGTATTTTGTAGGGGACTCACCCGAAATATAACAATTTCGACAGTTCTCTATGAGTGTCTCGAAAATTTCACGTATTTGGAGAAATTTATCGGCATTTCTCGAGTCACAGGGTTATTATTTTCCAAATTGGTTGCCACGGACTTTAGTTCAGGTAAATGCGTAATAATCGACCAGTTGCAGGCGCTCGTTTTGACCAATTGTACATGTTTTTTCCATAGGCATAGCGAGGTCGCCCATAGGAAGTTGTTCAGGTTGATCGATAGCAGCGTCGTCCTCGGCGTAGTCTATAGTGTATTGTTCATCCGTCAACAACGAAAAAATCCATTGTGAAGGAAGTTCAAATCGTACACGCAACTGACATCCTCGGATCAAATTTGACCGCAAAGTCAACAAACCAACAATTGTGATGTTTAAATTAAACTGTGGTTTGAGGTATACGTGCTCATACCGTATGAGAAGTCACGGGACCCCCACCACATAACTGAGAAAGCTCGAATCATCCGACGATATCATTAAAGGATTAATTTCTATATTCTTGAACGAATCTATAAAATCAAAGTGCTGGGTTTCAATTTACATAGCTCTTTGTATGGTCTTGTTTGCTGATCAACATTATATGATTTCTAGACATGTTCAATCTGTGCAGCTTCTTCACTTTCATATTAATGTCATAAGAGCATTTCAATCCATTTTGAATAAATGTGGTTCATCACAAATTGTAGAAATACTCTGAGCATTGACTATAAAATGGAATGGACTTGATCCGTGAGTATTCTCCGAGCAAATCGTCTCAAGTGCGTTTTTGATCGTTGCGCCCTGATTAGAAATAGTGCCAACAACGCACAAACCAAGTCGCTGCTAGTTTGTGATCACATGAACAATAATCGTTTTCAGATCTGGGATTCTTGTATCTTTTACTAGATAATAAGCCACAACCTGCTTATAATTTTTACGAATCCCTCTTATCATGGAAGTAAGGGCATGATTTCTGATAAATCACTTTTTCAGAGTTCTAGTTGATTTTGTTACCTCAGAATTCAAGATTTATTAGCTGAAAATTGTACACTGTGAGCACTGGGATCAGCCCTAAACTTTGTCCAAACCCTGCAATAATCGTAAACACTAAACAAGGGTAGACATATTTCTAGTTTAACTGCCTGAAGATTTTCTCTATGGTTTATACGTAACTCTCCACCTATTATCTCATTTTTGTACATGTTCTGGGAGAACTCAACTTGCTCCCTATAAAATGCAACGTCTTCCTGCACAGGTGGTTCTGGTTAAGTGCCAGCCTGCTTCGGGTTTGTAATTAGTTGTTGCAATTTTCTGATTTCGTCGTCCTTTTTCATAATCCAGATTTCGTTTTGGCATTCCAGTTCAGCCATTTGATCCTGAAGCTCTTTTATAGTAGAATCATTATGGCATCGTATATCTGAGATTTTAAATGAGTGGTTGACCTCACGTTGGTTACTCTCGTCCATCAGACTCTTTACGTCATTTCTCAGTTTAGATTCAAGTTCTTTTAGGAAGCCAATTTCATCTTGCAGTTCAGCAATGTGTGACATCGTTACATCAGTTTGTGCAGCAGCACTTAAAGAATGTTGCATATCTTCGTACTCAGCGTCAAGCATAGCTTCTAAGTCTGCAACCTTCTTTTTTGACTCAATATTTTGAGCTTCAAGAGATGGTTTAGGGCTCTCTGATCTTCCTAGGTTCTTCAGTTGAGTACGCAGCATCTCTATTTCTGACTCGTATGTTTTTAGTTTTTATCTTTTTATTATTTTTTTCCAGAAAATCGAGTCTGTATTGCAAGTCGATGAAATTCTTGCGCTTTTTGAGAATTTTTTTGAACTCTTTCTTTCTTCGTTGTACGCATCCGTTACTTGGCGGAGTTCCTGACTGTAACGATCGAATTTAGAATTGGCTTCTGTGAGCTGTTTCTTCAGGTCCAAAATCTCCAGCTGATTATCTAGTTTAGTGAATTCTCTAAGCTCATTGAAAGATTCTTCCAGTTCTTTGAGTTGTCTTTTAAGTACACTTGCACGTCTTCAGCTATCACAGATTCTGCTTCGGCTAGTGCCTCCTCATATGTCTCTTCTTGAATAGGCCTCATTTCACGTCCGGATGATTCTTCTTTGGGTGGATAATTTTTCAATGGCATATACCCTAGGGATGCTTTTTTAGGTGATACGTTGCCATAGTGTCCAAAAGTATGACGTCTTAATGTTTTTTTCGGTGTTGATGCCGAGGCTCCCATTTGAAAGCGCCCGACAATAGATACTTCCGTTTTTAGTCTTTCTATCTCGAGCAGATACTCTTGTTTGCTTTTATCCATCTCTTTTAGCTTAATTGCCTGCTTTTTGAGCCGAGTTTCGAGATCGCGAGTCAAGTTCTGATATCCTTGAAGTGTCTCTTCTGTAGCTGACAAGATGTTTACTTTCGTTTTATTTTTGACAGTTTTAGTGCTTTGGGCGAATTCTGGTGTAGATCTAGTCTCCTCCTCTGCAGCTAAAGTAACATTCCCGATAATCAATGATTTGGCATTACCGCCAAGAGCCTGTGAGAGCAGTCTAGTCAATTTCGAATCGCGATAACTGATAAACTCCTTCCCCTCGCTTAGTTGCCTTATCACATTTCCTAATACTGACAAAGATTTGTTTATGTTAGCCCCCTCTTTAAGACGCTCACCAGCAGCTTTCGTCAGAGAAACTCTCTCAGAACCAGCTAAGTCCATTAAGTTAAGGTAGCTTATATGTACAGGTCCATCTTTCTGATTGGCATCTTTCGACTCCAGAATAATCCGGAAAATCGTGTGTGATCGAGATGACCTCTCATTCATGCGAGTAGCTGCAACTCGTCTGATCTTATTGCCCTGCATCATGTTCTCCATAACTTTATCAACATTGTCTACGACAGCTTCCCTTGCATCAAGCAGCACATTTCCTTTGATATCTTCTCTTATAGTTAAACCCTGATTGCTCTTATCCAGGAGGTCATTGATCTTTTCATTGTAGATTTCAATATAACTGCATCTAATCAAGTACCTCTTATCAACCTGGTCTGCCACATGCTGGAATAACTGATTGGATACTAATTGGAAAAGCCCAGGATCTGTTTTATTGCCCAAAATGTGTGTGTGTTTTGCCAGAAGATGTTTGGCCATATGCAAATATTGTGGCATTGAAACCTTCCATGAAGGAATCGACTAAAGGTTTTACTACAGATCCATATACATCTGAATTTGTACATTCCTGCTTAAATACATGGTCGAATATATAAACCTCTCCATGGCGACTACTTTCATCGGCTTCCCATATGCAGTTTACTCTTACGTTCCAAAGACGCTCTAGACCATCGGCTACTTCGCGGTGGATCATTGGTCTGATCTTTGTGGCTACTTTAATATTGTCGGAAGTCATTTTGGAAGCTTGAACTGAAATTTAATTAGAACTAGGGCTATTTCACGGGTTATAAAGAGGGGCACTTTTCATAATCCAGATTTCGTTTTGGCATTCCAGTTCAGCCATTTGATCCTGAAGCTCTTTTATAGTAGAATCATTATGGCATCGTATATCTGAGATTTTAAATGAGTGGTTGACCTCACGTTGGTTACTCTCGTCCATCAGACTCTTTACGTCATTTCTCAGTTTAGATTCAAGTTCTTTTAGGAAGCCAATTTCATCTTGCAGTTCAGCAATGTGTGACATCGTTACATCAGTTTGTGTAGCAGCACTTAAAGAATCTTGCATATCTTCGTACTCAGCGTCAAGCATAGCTTCTAAGTCTGCAACCTTCTTTTTTGACTCAATATTTTGAGCTTCAAGAGATGGTTTAGGGCTCTCTGATCTTCCTAGGTTCTTCAGTTGAGTACGCAGCATCTCTATTTCTGACTCGTATGTTTTTAGTCTTTTTATTATTTTTTTCCAGAAAATCGAGTCTGTATTGCAAGTCGATGAAATTCTTGCGCTTTTTGAGAATTTTTTTGAACTCTTTCTATTTCTTCGTTGTACGCATCCGTTACTTGGCGGAGTTCCTGACTGTAACGATCGATTTTAGAATTGGCTTCTGTGAGCTGTTTCTTCAGGTCCAAAATCTCCAGCTGATTATCTAGTTTAGTGAATTCTCTAAGCTCATTGAAAGATTCTTCCAGTTCTTTGCGTTGTCTTTTAAGTACACTTGCACGTCTTCAGCTATCACAGATTCTGCTTCGGCTAGTGCCTCCTCATATGTCTCTTCTTGAATAGGCCTCATTTCACGTCCGGATGATTCTTCTTTGGGTGGATAATTTTTCAATGGCATATACCCTAGGGATGCTTTTTTAGGTGATACGTTGCCATAGTGTCCAAAAGTATGACGTCTTAATTTTTTTTCGGTGTTGATGCCGAGGCTCCCATTTGAAAGCGCCCGACAATAGATACTTCCGTTTTTAGTCTTTCTATCTCGAGCAGATACTCTTGTTTGCTTTTATCCATCTCTTTTAGCTTAATTGCCTGCTTTTTGAGCCGAGTTTCGAGATCGCGAGTCAAGTTCTGATATCCTTGAAGTGTCTCTTCTGTAGCTGACAAGATGTTTACTTTCGTTTTATTTTTGACAGTTTTAGTGCTTTGGGCGAATTCTGGTGTAGATCTAGTCTCCTCCTCTGCAGCTAAAGTAACATTCCCGATAATCAATGATTTGGCATTACCGCCAAGAGCCTGTGAGAGCAGTCTAGTCAATTTCGAATCGCGATAACTGATAAACTCCTTCCCCTCGCTTAGTTGCCTTATCACATTTCCTAATACTGACAAAGATTTGTTTATGTTAGCCCCCTCTTTAAGACGCTCACCAGCAGCTTTCGTCAGAGAAACTCTCTCAGAACCAGCTAAGTCCATTAAGTTAAGGTAGCTTATATGTACAGGTCCATCTTTCTGATTGGCATCTTTCGACTCCAGAATAATCCGGAAAATCGTGTGTGATCGAGATGACCTCTCATTCATGCGAGTAGCTGCAACTCGTCTGATCTTATTGCCCTGCATCATGTTCTCCATAACTTTATCAACATTGTCTACGACAGCTTCCCTTGCATCAAGCAGCACATTTCCTTTGATATCTTCTCATAGTTAAACCCTGATTGCTCTTATCCAGGAGGTCATTGATCTTTTCATTGTAGATTTCAATATAACTGCATCTAATCAAGTACCTCTTATCAACCTGGTCTGCCACATGCTGGAATAACTGATTGGATACTAATTGGAAAAGCCCAGGATCTGTTTTATTGCCCAAAATGGTGTGTGTTTTGCCAGAAGATGTTTGGCCATATGCAAATATTGTGGCATTGAAACCTTCCATGAAGGAATCGACTAAAGGTTTTACTACAGATCCATATACATCTGAATTTGTACATTCCTGATTAAATACATGGTCGAATATAAACCTCTCCATGGCGACTACTTTCATCGGCTTCCCATATGCAGTTTACTCTTACGTTCCAAAGACGCTCTAGACCATCGGCTACTTCGCGGTGGATCATTGGTCTGATCTTTGTGGCTACTTTAATATTGTTGGAAGTCATTTTGGAAGCTTGAACTGAAATTTAATTAGAACTAGGGCTATTTCACGGGTTATAAAGAGGGGCAGATGTATCAGGTTGATACATTCTTTTTTTCCTCCTTTCCAGTATAGAAGATTTTTTTCTCTTGTAGGCTATGAATGCGGTCCGATAGTTTAGTAGAGCTACATTTACAGGGTGACTCAAAATCAAAGAAGAAACAGAATTGTTAAATTTCATATAGACTGTTATTGTTATTACAAAAAGAAGTTGAAAGCAGCAAATTCTCACAAATCTATAGATCCATCACTTTCAGCACCCGATTTTTCAACTTGAAAAATGCAGCTCGGTGAAGAATCACAAGGTAACTGTTGTCTATTCAGACAATACTCTTCTAAAAGCAACGCGAAGTTACCTAGTGCCTTACATGAATCGCCTTCATAATTCTTCATTATTGTCAATGGAAAACTGAAATTGTTGATTATTACAGTTTTTAATGCTTCAAATAAACAGATGGTGTTCGTGTTGGAAATCCCACGTCTAATCTCGCAAAACAGGTTATCCACCGGATCTTACTATCAACATCTGAAATGCCATTACTGTTTTTAGCCATGTGTACAACAGGTTTGTACGCATAAGACACTCTTACATGAAAACTGTTTATTGTCTAAAAACGAAAATACCCCATTGAAGATGAGTAATGCAATAAATATAATCCTCGAAACTTGAACTGTAATATGAACATAAAAAAACTAACAAAATGGGCCATTTAACAACATATTTGGTGTTGATATTCTACAACAAAAACAAATACTTTCTCGTATAAGGAAACATACAATAATTAACATTTATCACTTTTCACGAAACAATGTAAGTGCGCTGTGACTTTACATACTTATTACAGATTGTAGAACATTTTTTTCATTGTGTATTGTCATGTAACACCTACGTCGTTTTTTTTCTTTAACAACTGCATCAGGATCGAGAACTCTGGGCTGAGAAGTAGACGGCTTACTTTATTCGTCGTTGGTAATTTAGGATTCTTTGCATGGCTGAACGAAGCTCCCTAGGAAGTCTTGGATCTGATAAACGTCCTCTCATACGAAGTTAAATTAGAGTTTGCCTCAGGGGAACAATAAAATTTCGTCGCCTAATGGAACTTTCAGTCCCAGACTGAAAAAAAAAGGAATTTACAGAAGCTGGTTGGATACCAAATAGCACAAGGCCATCTTCTCGTTCTCTAACCAGTATTGTAATTTACACACTTCCGATCTAATGCATTACCCCCCGCCTTCATAGTGTTATAAAAATAATATAGGATCTTATCAGGTTTCTTTGATTCCTCTACTATTTTGTTATCATGCTGCATAGATTGCTATACGAGAACATGTGTATTTGGTTTTGGAAGATACTACTCTAAGGCTGTACAACATAAACTTAGAAGTACCTGGCTGTGTTTCCTTCTTATTTGGAACTACATGTTGGGGTACTTGTTACTTATTTTTACGCTTCCTGCCGACATAGGTCAGTTGGTTGATGCGCAATTCTACATGTAATTCTACTGACGTGAACCAGTCATCTGCTGTGATATTTCTGTTCGTATAGACGAAAGCATTGAGCAGGTAGTGGTGAGTCTTTGCATCATCAGTCCATACTTATTCGGTTTAGTTTTCTTGTAGGCACAGGAAGGACATCGGCCCACGAGCATCTCGTATTTTGTAGGGGACTCACCCGAAATATAACAATTTCGACAGTTCTCTATGAGTGTCTCGAAAATTTCACGTATTTGGAGAAATTTATCGGCATTTCTCGAGTCACAGGGTTATTATTTTCCAAATTGGTTGCCACGGACTTTAGTTCAGGTAAATGCGTAATAATCGACCAGTTGCAGGCGCTCGTTTTGACCAATTGTACATGTTTTTTCCATAGGCATAGCGAGGTCGCCCATAGGAAGTTGTTCAGGTTGATCGATAGCAGCGTCGTCCTCGGCGTAGTCTATAGTGTATTGTTCATCCGTCAACAACGAAAAAATCCATTGTGAAGGAAGTTCAAATCGTACACGCAACTGACATCCTCGGATCAAATTTGACCGCAAAGTCAACAAACCAACAATTGTGATGTTTAAATTAAACTGTGGTTTGAGGTATACGTGCTCATACCGTATGAGAAGTCACGGGACCCCCACCACATAACTGAGAAAGCTCGAATCATCCGACGATATCATTAAAGGATTAATTTCTATATTCTTGAACGAATCTATAAAATCAAAGTGGCTGGGTTTCAATTTACATAGCTCTTTGTATGGTCTTGTTTGCTGATCAACATTATATGATTTCTAGACATGTTCAATCTGTGCAGCTTCTTCACTTTCATATTAATGTCAATAAGAGCATTTCATCCATTTTTGAATAAATGTGGTTCATCACAAATTGTAGAAATACTCTGAGCATTGACTATAAAATGGAATGGACTTGATCCGTGAGTATTCTCCGAGCAAATCGTCTCAAGTGCGTTTTTGATCGTTGCGCCCTGATTAGAAATAGTGCCAACAACGCACAAACCAAGTCGCTGCTAGTTTGTGATCACATGAACAATAATCGTTTTCAGATCTGGGATTCTTGTATCTTTTACTAGATAATAAGCCACAACCTGCTTATAATTTTTACGAATCCCTCTTATCATGGAAGTAAGGGCATGATTTCTGATAAATCACTTTTTCAGAGTTCTAGTTGATTTTGTTACCTCAGAATTCAAGATTTATTAGCTGAAAATTGTACACTGTGAGCACTGGGATCAGCCCTAAACTTTGTCCAAACCCTGCAATAATCGTAAACACTAAACAAGGGTAGACATATTTCTAGTTTAACTGCCTGAAGATTTTCTCTATGGTTTATACGTAACTCTCCACCTATTATCTCATTTTTGTACATGTTCTGGGAGAACTCAACTTGCTCCCTATAAAATGCAACGTCTTCCTGCACAGGTGGTTCTGGTTAAGTGCCAGCCTGCTTCGGGTTTGTAATTAGTTGTTGCAATTTTCTGATTTCGTCGTCCTTTTTCATAATCCAGATTTCGTTTTGGCATTCCAGTTCAGCCATTTGATCCTGAAGCTCTTTTATAGTAGAATCATTATGGCATCGTATATCTGAGATTTTAAATGAGTGGTTGACCTCACGTTGGTTACTCTCGTCCATCAGACTCTTTACGTCATTTCTCAGTTTAGATTCAAGTTCTTTTAGGAAGCCAATTTCATCTTGCAGTTCAGCAATGTGTGACATCGTTACATCAGTTTGTGCAGCAGCACTTAAAGAATGTTGCATATCTTCGTACTCAGCGTCAAGCATAGCTTCTAAGTCTGCAACCTTCTTTTTTGACTCAATATTTTGAGCTTCAAGAGATGGTTTAGGGCTCTCTGATCTTCCTAGGTTCTTCAGTTGAGTACGCAGCATCTCTATTTCTGACTCGTATGTTTTTAGTCTTTTTATTATTTTTTTCCAGAAAATCGAGTCTGTATTGCAAGTCGATGAAATTCTTGCGCTTTTTGAGAATTTTTTTGAACTCTTTCTATTTCTTCGTTGTACGCATCCGTTACTTGGCGGAGTTCCTGACTGTAACGATCGAATTTAGAATTGGCTTCTGTGAGCTGTTTCTTCAGGTCCAAAATCTCCAGCTGATTATCTAGTTTAGTGAATTCTCTAAGCTCATTGAAAGATTCTTCCAGTTCTTTGAGTTGTCTTTTAAGTACACTTGCACGTCTTCAGCTATCACAGATTCTGCTTCGGCTAGTGCCTCCTCATATGTCTCTTCTTGAATAGGCCTCATTTCACGTCCGGATGATTCTTCTTTGGGTGGATAATTTTTCAATGGCATATACCCTAGGGATGCTTTTTTAGGTGATACGTTGCCATAGTGTCCAAAAGTATGACGTCTTAATGTTTTTTTCGGTGTTGATGCCGAGGCTCCCATTTGAAAGCGCCCGACAATAGATACTTCCGTTTTTAGTCTTTCTATCTCGAGCAGATACTCTTGTTTGCTTTTATCCATCTCTTTTAGCTTAATTGCCTGCTTTTTGAGCCGAGTTTCGAGATCGCGAGTCAAGTTCTGATATCCTTGAAGTGTCTCTTCTGTAGCTGACAAGATGTTTACTTTCGTTTTATTTTTGACAGTTTTAGTGCTTTGGGCGAATTCTGGTGTAGATCTAGTCTCCTCCTCTGCAGCTAAAGTAACATTCCCGATAATCAATGATTTGGCATTACCGCCAAGAGCCTGTGAGAGCAGTCTAGTCAATTTCGAATCGCGATAACTGATAAACTCCTTCCCCTCGCTTAGTTGCCTTATCACATTTCCTAATACTGACAAAGATTTGTTTATGTTAGCCCCCTCTTTAAGACGCTCACCAGCAGCTTTCGTCAGAGAAACTCTCTCAGAACCAGCTAAGTCCATTAAGTTAAGGTAGCTTATATGTACAGGTCCATCTTTCTGATTGGCATCTTTCGACTCCAGAATAATCCGGAAAATCGTGTGTGATCGAGATGACCTCTCATTCATGCGAGTAGCTGCAACTCGTCTGATCTTATTGCCCTGCATCATGTTCTCCATAACTTTATCAACATTGTCTACGACAGCTTCCCTTGCATCAAGCAGCACATTTCCTTTGATATCTTCTCATAGTTAAACCCTGATTGCTCTTATCCAGGAGGTCATTGATCTTTTCATTGTAGATTTCAATATAACTGCATCTAATCAAGTACCTCTTATCAACCTGGTCTGCCACATGCTGGAATAACTGATTGGATACTAATTGGAAAAGCCCAGGATCTGTTTTATTGCCCAAAATGGTGTGTGTTTTGCCAGAAGATGTTTGGCCATATGCAAATATTGTGGCATTGAAACCTTCCATGAAGGAAT